CTCACGGGCACGGCCACTTTAGGGTCACCCCTGGGGCTGAAGCGGCACTGCACCCTTTGACAGCTCTGCTGTCTTTCCATGTGGACAGCCGTTCCCTGGCTGATGGACACTTGGGTTGTCCCCAGTTTCTGGGCAATTGTAGATACGGCTGCTATGAACCTCCATGCACAAGTCCTTCTGTGAACAGAGGCCTTCACGTCTCTAACTTTGTGAGACGCTGACAGTTTGTAAAACAGTGGCACCATCTTATCTTCCCATCAGCAAGAAGAGATTACTTCAGCTACTTCATATTCTCAGTCTTCTTAATTTTTAATCATATTTTAGTACTCTAATTAATATATAATGGCAATTTGTTGTGGCTTTAATTTGGATTTCTCCAATGATTAAGGATTTTGAGCATATTTTTCATATAGTTGTTTACTATCCACGTGTCTTCTTCACTGAAGAATGTGTTCAAAAGTTTGTCTATTTTTAAATTGTGTTGTTTTCTTATTAGGTTTTGATATCTGATTTTTAAAAAAATCTGGAATAAAAATTCGTTATCAGATATTTACAAATATTTTCTCCAGTCTGAGGGTTGTCTTTTCATTTCAAACACTGGAAATCCACCCACAAGGAGTCCGTTTGGGTTGGCCTCTGTGTAATGGAGGGGGCCTCATCTACTCAAGCTCAGAAGCCTGTGCAGTACCCACGCCGGTAATCCCAGCAACTCAGGAGGCTGAGGCAGGAAGATCGGAGGTTCAAGGCCAGCCTGAGCAACAGAGTGAGCCACTGTCTCAAAATGAAAACCCAAACAAATGGCCTGGGGATGTAGCTCAGTGGTAGGAAACAATGAATTAAAAAAGCCCCTGCAGCTGTGACATTTATCCTAGGATCCCATGATGACACTGTGGGGAGAGATGCTCAGGAAGTGTCCTCAGATCTTCCCTGAAGTGACTGCTGGAAGGCTTAGGGCCCAGTGCCACTGGGACATCTCCATTAACCAGCGCTTCTGTCCCAGGGCAGGGGAACTGTGTGAAGCCAGGTGATTGGCAGACTGCTCTCCTGCCCCTCCCCCCGTGACTCCTGCCCCGCCCCCGCAGTGCACTCACCATGTCCTTCCCCACCAATTGCTCTCAGGGCTAGTCTCACCAGGGACAGGTGGCTCATCGCATGCATATTCACAGGGGAATTACTCAAGAATCTATGCCACTGAATTTATCTTTCCACGTCCATGGGCAGCCACATCCTTGGCAAGGGCACGTGGCATGACTCCTGGTCAGTGCATGCCGGAGCAGCCTGCTGGGCCAGGGCTCAGCTGTCCTCAACTTCAGTAGCAACTGTGAAACCTGGTGTCCGAGCCCCTGTCACCGGCAGCGACTGGGAGTCCTATAGCCTCGCAGTGCTAGAGTGACTGTTGTCACTCTTCAGTCTTAGGTATGCTGGTGGCATAAAGTGGTTCCGATTTGTGATTTACTGTTAATCTTTTTTTCCTGTTTTTATTGATTTCCACCTTGATTTTCCCATGGTCAGAGAAGTTTGTGGATCTATGTATTGCCCAGTATATGATCCATTTTGGTAAATACTCCACACACCTGTGATCAGAACCTGTCCCCTGCAGTTGCTGGGCACACACTCTATCCGTGCCGGCCAGGCTAGTTTCTTTATTGTTTGTTCAGACTTTCTGTATTTTTCTCGGGATGGGAGCTCACAGTGTTGCCCAGGCTGGGCTGGAGCTTGTGACCCTCCTGCCTCAGCCTCCCGAGGCCCTCACAGGTATTCACCGCTCTTCTATATTCTTAGTGATTTTTAAAAATATATACTTGACTAAAGCTGCAGACTTTGATTTTTTCCTGAGTCTGCTGGTTTTTGCTGCGTGAATCCTGAGGATGTCATTAGATCACAGATATCTAAAACGATGCTCTTCCATCCCTGTGAAAGGTCCCTCTCTGTGTCCAGGGACGCTTGCCCTAACGTCTGCTCTCGGTGCCACCTCGCTGGATGGCCTTCTGCTGGTGATTACAGTCGGGGCAACTTGGGCTTTCTACTGTCCACAAAGTGCCCATCCCACTGCTCTCTCTTCTGTGACCCTGGCACCTCCTCCGACAGGTAGACAGGGGGAGTCTGTGGTCCTCCCCTGGGACCATGTGGACCCTGTGGCGGTGGAGCACAGCAGAAGTGCCACTGTGCGACTGCTGAGTCTAGACCACGCACAGCCGATGCCCTGTGGCCCGTTCTTTCGGACGCAGCCCTTGGATCAGCAGTGTGCTCTGAGGCAGCCCAGAGTGACCGCCGTGGAAAGGCCATCCTCGGGATTCGGGCCAACAGCCCTGGTGAGTCATAACACAGACTGCCCATCGTCCAGAGAGGCCTCTGTGGTCCCAGCCCCCAGCTCTTGGGTGACCCTCAGCCTAGAGTCACCCTTGAGATCCTCCCATTTGAGGTCTCACGACCTACAGCAGACACTAGCTGGCCAGTGTGCCTTGTCCAGGGGCCTCATGGTGACTGCGGAGGGCGGCTGTTCTGTATCACTGAACTGTGAAGTCACAACAGGGACTGAAACCCTGCAGCATAAGTTTCCCACTCTCCATGATCTTTGTGTCCCTTTATTTTTGAGGCATAACTCTTATAAATGGCAGGTAGGTTTTTATAGAAAAAATGGAGCCAGACAATCTTCCGCTGTTGATTGGAGTACTTAGTCTATCCAAGTGTAAGGTCATGCCTTATGTGTCTGGGTTTAAATCTACTTCCCATCTTCTCCTTATTCTTTGTCCTGCTCTTTCTGCGTTCTTCTCCTCTTTCTCTTTCCTTCTTCGGGTTGATTGTGTTCCACTGTGTGTCTTCCCTGACTAGGGATATGACAGATGGCACCTGCTGCAAACCTTTCAGCAGTCACACTGGAAATTGCAATGTGCACTCTGGATGTTCACCCACATCTACCGCTTCAGGTGCCTTTCAAGATAACTGTCAGTAACCGACAAGGAAGAAAGGGCCGAGACCTGTATCCAGACACACCTCCGGGCGTGCTCCTGACACACGGAGTTCTCTGGCCTACAGAGTCAGACACCTATTCGGTTTTGGAAACGATCATGTTTTCAAAGAAACCGTGCGCTTTAAAAAGGCCTCAGGTGGCACAAGCCTTAAAGCAGCTCCGAGCCCTAGACTTCCACAGGCAGGACACGGTCTGCAAAGGCCGCTCTGCCTGCAGGAAGACCTGCCTTCCCACCCACTTCAGCTGGGTCCCTGGAGGATAATGGACCAGGAAATGGAGCTGTGGTCAAAGAGAATGACGGGCCGAAGTCCCCCAGAGAGCCACATTGGGGTGAACCTAGGAAATGCCCACCAATCACGGATAGGATGGGAGATTTCTTAGCAGTTGTAGGTTGGACCATGGGTGCTATGCTCAGGCCTTTGAAGGGGTCAAGCAGCAGCCCTACCTGGGAATTGGGCTGTCCCTCTTGGGGGCCAGGGAGTGTCCTGTGGGTGGAGGAGCGACACAGAAGGCTGCCCAGAGGGGAGGGGTGCTACGGCAGAGCAAAGACACTGTGAATCAGCAAACTCCTTCCCTCCTGTTCCTGGGCCACGGACCTTATTTCCCATCCCCCCTTACAAAAAAAAAAACCACGTGGCCTCATGGGGTTTGGAGTTTGGTGGATGGAATATGCCGAGAAGAGACGTGGCCTTTTGCAGACCTGGCCCATAAAAGCCACCGGGATAGTCTCTGTGGTCTCCCATCTTGTGATGTGGGTGGGCACAGTGACCTTAGATTCCTTGCTTCAAAACAGCGGCCCACAAGGCAGAAGGAGCTCTGTGCCTGGCTCTCTTGGGCCCCTGATTTGGAACTTATTAGAGTGAGAAAGAGACACCCTTGACTAGGAAGGCTGGCATGAGCCAGGGACGCAGAGCGTCTCATCCCAGCCACACAGCTGCTCCACCCTCTGGGGCCCGAGAGGGAGGGGATGCTCCCAGTCCCTCCATGCTGATGGGAACATGGTGCTGAATTAAAGGAGCCGTCTGCCAGCTCCATTTGGCAAAGAGCCTTGGCCAGGGAGTGGGGGGCACCTGCCCTGCTCCCACTCTCTCCAGCAGGGAGGCCTCTGGAACTCCAGGACGCAGGGACCAGCAAGACCCAGGAGGGCTGAGAAGCCTGAGGCAGGCGAATCAGAGACACTGGGACGCCGCCACCTGGAGGTGCTCTAGTTGGGCCTTTCCTTCCCCTTTCAGAGACAAGAAGATGCGGGCTCCAGAATCTAGTGGACTGTCACTCTGACTTGGTGTCAGAGCTGCGATCAGGGCTTGGCTCTGCCGTCATTCATGGCAGAAGGGGATGGACAGGCGCACACACTACTATTTGAGCAGGCGACGAAGCACGGCGCTTCTTTAGTCTCATGGTTTTTCTTAAACATTCATGCAAATTTGTCATTCTACACCATCACATCTCCTCCATGCTTTCAGTGGAAAAGAAAGCTTTAAATCACTTGTCGCAGAACCAGGCGGCCTTCCCAGGAAGACGCGTGTTTATCACGCTTGGCGCCCTGCCACTCGGCCCCCGGCACGCTTATCTCCAGTTTGAAAGGTTCCTCACGGAGGCAGAGCTATTTTCGTGTGGGCCTCTGCCTCTCCTGATCCCTTCTCCCACCCTCCTCACCCCCAGCCCCACCGTCCTCACCCCCCGCCCCACCACCCTCCCCCCAGCCCCACCCACTGAATCCAGCCTGCAGGGCAGACCTGCCAGATCCCTACCCACCTGCATGGTCTGGGCCTGCAGAGCCCCTTCGGGAAGCCTCCGCTGGCCCTTCAAAAGCCACTTGTCCCTTCCCCTGCCCACTCTCCCTGTGCCCTAGAGGGTGCTATTTGGACCCACATGCCACACTGCCGTCAGCTGGCTTGTACGTTTGCCTCCTTCTCAAAGGAGGACACACGGAGCCCTCGATGTTGGCGACTGCACTAGCTCAGGGGCTGGCCGTGTGCTCCCGGCCCCATTCCTCCCGCTGTGCCCTGGCCCCTCCCTGACCACTTACTGGCTGGGGGAGGGACTGCGGAGGTAGTGGGCCTGCACCGCCCGCACGGTGGCTCCGTCCTCCTCATCTGGGACCACCTGCTCTTCCTCTGGGTCCCCACCAGACGCCATGTCAGCCACCAGCTCCTGCCAGGCAGGGGAAAAGGTGGTTAGAACCAGGTTCCAAGGCTTGGGGGGGGGAGTGCCAGAAATGTCACCTTGGTGGAACTGGGAATGGGAAGGTCACTGCCTGCTGATACCCAGGGCGTAAAGCCGGCGTGGACAACTCCATCAGGTCTCCAGAGAGTGCCCGGGCCGTGTTCACAGCCATCTGCAGACCTGGTGCTGAAGAAGGGCCGACTGGGCCCCTTCCACAGGACCAGCCGGGGCAGTGAGGGGAACCGACTCCACCGTAACTGTAGCCACGCAGGCCCAAGGACAGTCAAATCCCCAGACGAGACGTTCTGTTGAATGGTAGGGTGCTCCGCGTGTGCCACGGCGCCAGCCCCTCCACACACACACACACACACACGCTCACACACACACACTCATACACATTCACACATACACACACACACCACACACACACACACACTCACACACACACCACACACACACACACACACACGCTCACACACACACTCATACACATTCACACATACACACACACACCACACTCACACACACACTCACACACACACACCACACTCACACACACACACTCACACACACACACACACACAGGCTGGCGCACACACCTGTTGCCTGCTTGGGGAGAGGCAGGACCAGCCTCCACCAGGGAGCCTTCTAAGGCCGCAGGAGTCTGGGCCTTGGCTGAGGGGCCATTCCACGGAAGGTGGTCCCAACATGGCGGCTGGCCCCCGACGTGTGGGCAGAGCTGCTGCCCCCTTGTTGAGCCAGGTTCATCAGGGCAAAACCAGGGAAGAGCACTTACCACCAGCCGGCCTGGGTGTCCACACCAAGGGCCGAGGACCCAGATGGAATGGCCAAAAACAGCGTCCAGTAAGAGAGACCAAGCTCTCTCCTCTCTTGGGCGACTTCTCTGAGGAGCAAGACAGCTGTTAGGAGGAAACCTTAGCCACCCTCTAAATTTAGCCTCTGGCCCCGGACTGGCAGGTCTCTGTGAGGAAGGAATGCAGGCTGGGGCCAGTCCCCAGAAGAGGCCTGCTTAACCCTTTACCTCCTGGCTGAGCCCCCAGACAGTGGCCTTCAGCTGTGGAGTGGGAGGACCCTCACTGTGGACAGAGAGGCCTCGGGAGGCAGCCTCCTCTGGGCCCTCTCCAGGCCCTCCTGCCTGGGCCTGTCCATCAGAGTCCTTCCCCAGACGGTCGGAATCATCAGACCTAGAAGAGCCTTAGTTCAGCCCCGCGGCATCTGAGAGAGCGGCAGGAAGGTAGGGTGAGCAGCCCACTGCGGCTGAAGGGGCCCTTGCCTGTGGCGGGGACGGCCGCCTTCCACAGAGGTGGCAGTTGTGCTCCTCCACACCCTGCCCTCACTCCAGCCCCCGGAGGAGGCCAGTTGTCAACTTTGGGTGATTAAAAATTGCGTGGACTTCATAAACGTCGAATGAGCTCATAACCCACCTTCTACCGCCCCCATCACTAGGATCAGAGCCCAGAGCCAGGGTTCTCCCCCTTCCCCACACATTCTCTAGTTACCCCATCATCCGTCCATCTATTTTTCTGTCCGTTTAGACACTCGCTAGTTTCCTGCTGTGAATCAGCCATGGCACTTGGCCACAGTCAGCGAGGCACACGGCTTGAAGCGGCCGTTCTTCCTCTCTGGATGGAACAGCACCATTAGAAACTGGCCAAATGAGTGAGTGAGCTCCCGGTTTATTAGGAGGAGTGACCACAGACCCCCAATAACTCAAGCACAAGGCAGAGTGCAGTTAGGGCCCCAGAAGAGACCCAGAGTTAGGCGAGTTCGAAGGCCGGGGAAGGCAGCAAAGGGGTCCTAGGAGAAGGGGCAACCCACGAGCTGGCTTTTTAAGACAGGTGAAGTCACCACGGCTGACGGGTAGGGGAGGAAGTACACAGGGACGTGTGGACCGAGTTCTGCCCCAGGAAGTCTGAGTTCTGGGTGGGATGTCTTACTTGCTCAAAGCAAAAGTAATATAGTCTGGAAGAGGATTTTTAGAAGAACAAATGCTAGAACAACTTAACAGCCAACAAAAGAGCTGGGTTCACTTGTTAGGTTCTGCAGTCAGTGAGAGGACCTAAGCAGAGAAGTGACGATCTAAGGACCGTGTGTTAGGACAATGGTGTTATGAAATATTTGGTCTGAAAAATTATTACTTACAATAAGAAAATCCAGTCAGGTGACCAAGTAAATTTTATTTTATTATTTTTTTAAAATGATTTTTTGAATTTTTAAAATTTTTTAGTTGTTGATGTACTTTCATTATTTATTTATCTATTTATACGTGGTGCTGAGAATCGAACCCAGTGCCTCACACATGCGAGGCAAGTGCTCTGCCACTGAGCCACAATCTCAGCCCCTCAAGTAAATTTTAATAAATCAAATAAATTTTGTATGTCAATCAAACCTACTAGCCACAAAACGATTAATAAAATAATGTATGTAGGAAATTCTGAATTCATAATACAAACAAATATAGGCAAAAGAATCTGCAATACTTATCACTCCCAAAAGACATTTCCCTTAATACACAAAGAGCTTCTAGAGATCAACCACGTAACAGATATAGGGGGAAATGGACTACCCAGATTCAGAAAAGGAAATTTCATACAGCAGAATTTTATGACCCATTAAACAGAAGTTGATGATGCTACATGTACTGATACAGAAAACTCTAAGGTATTTTGTTAAGTAAAAAATAAAAAAGCCAACCTCACTGCAGAATAGAGGATGTGATACACCATCGTTTGTGCACCTTTTATCACATATCTGTGGAAGAATCTGTGCCACTGGCTGCTCCTACACAGTTGCCCCTCCTCCCAACCATCATCCTAGCAGGTGGTCAGCATCTCAACTTGCTTGTAACCGAGGGGATTTCCAGGACAGTATGCCTGTGGGTTAAAAACCAGGACAGTCCCAGGGGTCACTTATCTCCAAGGTCATCTATCTGCGACTTTCCAGACTAGATTATGCGCTGAGGGAGGGGACTCCCCGTCTTCTTCCTGGCTGTCCTGGGCGCTGGGAAGCATACTAGAACAGGAGGGAAGCCCAGGCACTGTCACACTGGATCTTGAAGTATTTCAGCCAATGCAGGTTTCCCTTCTTCACTAGATCAGAATCCTGTCTCGGAGACCATCCCCCTTTTTATTGCCAGGCAACAGCTTTGTGTCAGTTATCAAAGAGGCCACACCTTAGAGAAGGCCAGGACTTTGGACACCTGCTCAACAGGGAGACTGCAGGGTAGGTGACTGGCTCCGAAGAGGGGAGGGCAGAATGCTGGGTCCCTTGGGTAGAGAGCTACAGCATGGCCCAACCCACAGGTGAGCTCACCTGCCCATCCAGCTGAGGGCGTGGCATGGGGCCAGGCTGGGCAGAGGTGGGCAGGAGGAGGGAGAAGAGCAGAGACCTCGGGCTGGGCCAGGCCAAGGCTGCTGTTCCTGCACTGGTCAGCCGGACTCGTTTGGTGCTCCCAGGGCCCGGCCGGGTCTGGGCAGAGCAGGAGCAAGGCCATGGTGGGAAAGATGCGGCCCACACTGTTGACACTCTGTGCCGGTGAGTGGCCCTCCGTGACCAGTGCCCAGGGGCGGGTGAGACAGGGACTGACGGCTGAGGGACAGGCTTTCCCAGGGCCCCCCCCCAGGAAGGGCTCCTGCGCTGCGCTGGGCAGAACTGTGTTTGGGTAGCATTTCCAGGCCAGTGCCTGGTCAGAGTGGTTCTCATCTGCATAGGAGCAAGTAAGATCCCAGCCCATTGCTGGAGTGAGTCCACCTTTCTCTATGTCCAAAGCAGATCCTAGTTCAGACACAAGATCTGACCACGGGGACAGAATCTTTGAAACCAGGAAAATCCAGGATGTGAATCTAGACACACTCACAACCTCGCATTTTAACTGCTGCCTTAAAACCAGAGAAAGGCACAATGATAGGAGTGTTCACCTCTATCACCAAGGGAAACTGAGGCAGAGGGGTGACGTTATTCAACCAACATCATGATCAGTGCATAACCAACTAGAGGGCCCTTCCCAGAGGCCAAAGCTCTGCAGCTCCCGGTGCTCTGGGCATGGAAAACTCTAAGGGGACACCCCCGATGGAAATCAGACGCTTATGGGTCAGTGGTCATATCCAAATCAAGTGCTAAGCAGTGAAGTCGTTGGGGAGAGTCCCACAGAGCAGGCGAGAGTAGCAAGGAGGGCTTGGCATTTGGCTCCGCTGCTAGGAAGGAAGCCGATGGAGAGAGGAAGCTGAGAAGTGGGAGATTTTAGGGGTACTTCAGATCAGTGTGCAATTCAGGAACCGTCGTGGGCTCCCGGGACCCGGTGATAATGGGGACCAGTGGCAGCCATACCAGGAACCCCCCACGCCCTGGGAAGTGAGCCCAGAGCCTTCCTTTGGGCAGACAGGCTGGCCCAGGACCACCTGGGCTACCACAGGCCTCCACTCCCTCCCTGCCCTATCTCTCAAAAGCCAGCCTGGGGGCCTTTGAGCAGAGGGCCAGCTGGTGCTGGGGAGGGCTGGGTCAAGGGAAAGATGAGCCAGGATGGCCTGGTTGGTCCTTCCTCAGCAATGGACTCTTTAGTGAGCACATCACTGTGGGGGCGCCCTAGGCCCGGGAATCTGGTGGTCAGCTCAGCCTTCAGTTCCACACGGGAGGATGCTTCCAGGCTCCAGGGAGGGGGCGGAAAGAGAATGACCATCCTCTCCTAGTCGGGCCTAGTTCTCTGTCTCCTGGGCCAGAACTGTCCCCTGGGGATTCCGCACCCTGCCCCAGGCAAGTCCCCACCTCTGTGGTCTGGTGGCCACCCACGCGTGTGAAAAAGTCATGCTGGCTGGGGAGAAGCCAGACCCCTGCTCTCCCAGGTGGGAAGGAGAAGGGGCCTTAACTGAATTGCCGGGAGCGGGGCATTTCATCTCTTCCTGGGAGGCACTGACCTGGTGAAGTCACCAGCAGAACCAGTTCTGGGCATGTTCTCC